GTTTTTTGCAGTTCTGCGCTGGAGGTCTTTGGAGGCTTCCACTTGAGGTCTCTGTTGCGCTCCAGCAGTCCTCAAGCATGAGTCGTAGGACGACAAACACCACAACACATATACACAATAGTTCAGGTTCACTTCGGGGTGGCCTCGGCTCAGGAATAGTTGTATATTTGTTTCATTGGTTTCTGGCGTTCTAGTCTCCAGCTCCTTGAGGACTTTAGAGCCCGCAGCGTCCGCCTGAGCCCATCCGAAGGCTCTCCAGAGCGGTGTTGGAGCCTTATGCTTGTTCGTCACCCTTTTTCTCATCATCCCCTTGCTCTCCCTTACACGCGTCTTCGTTTTCGTCCATCGTCCTCTCCCTACTTCTCTTTGGCCTCGTCCTCATTATCATCCTCGCCTGCTGGTGCTGCTGCTGCTGCCGCTAGTGTGCTTCCCTTCATGAGGAGGAGGGGGAGGAAGAGTACTTAGGGATTCCTGAGGATGCGCTAAGATTACGTAGATTCCTGATGAATGATTCCGAGGCATTCATGAGAACCTTCATGATCCCTGTGCGAACGGGTTCGGCACGGAGTCGCATGAGCTCCTTGGCATCCTTGAGCATTCGTTAGTGAGCCAACTAATTCTTAAGGACTCTTCTGACTTATTTCAGAGGATTATCTAAGACGCCTACGGCGAAGCACCGCCGCCCCCTGCCATGTTGGAAGCGCCTGCGTGGCCGAAAGGTGAGTTTGAGCTTGGCCAAGCTATCGGGCCACGCGTTCCCGGAGTGGGTTTCGGAAGCCTTCGGGGAACACGGAGTCGGGCGAGCTATCGGACAAGGTGGTTTCCGAGTTTCCGAGCCTCCTGGAGGACGTCTTGGAAGGGTTTGGGGCCGTCTTGGAGGCCTCTGGCGGGCCGTTTGGCAAGTCTGAAGCCATCTTGGAGCCATCTTGTGCCGTCTTGGGTGCATTTTGGGGCCATTTTCGCCGTCTTGGAGGCCTTCTTGGCCATCTTGGAGGCATCTTGGGTGCCATCTTGGCCGTCTTGGAGGCCATCTTGGGCGTCTTGGGGGCCTCTTGAGCCGTCTTGGGGTCCTGTTGGGGCCCTCTTGGGGGCGTCTTGGGCTGTCATGGGGCCATCTCGGAGGCCTCTTGGGCACTCTTGGGACGATGTTGGGGGCCTCTTGGGCCGTCTTGGGCCGTCGGAGAGCTGATAAGAAGAAAACGCCCAAAGCCTTCAAACACTTTTAGGACAATCAATGATTGTTGCCCTTTCGGGCCCTCCTGGAGGACGTCTTGGAGGCCTCTTGGGGGCCTCTTGGCCAGTCTTAGGCCATCTTGGAGCCATCGTGTGCCGTCTTGGAGGCTTCTTGGACAAACTTGAAGGCATCTTGGACTCTCTCGGGCCGTCTTGGAAGCCATCTTGGACCATCTTTGGCGACTTGGAGGCCATCTTGGGCCATCTCGGAGGCCATCTTGGGCCAACGTGACCATCTTGGAGGCCATCTTGAGCCGTCTTGGAGGATGCTTTGCGGTCGTTGAGGTGGTTTGGGGGTCTTTCCGTGACCCTGGCGGGATCGACCGAAGCCCTATGAGAGAGTTCTTTTGAAAAAATAGCAAAACCCAAATCGAAGGGATCTAGCACGCCGGGCACCCCTGTGGCAAGCCAACAGGGGGCGGCGGATCGAAGATGCCTACGGCGAATCACCGCCGCCCCCTGCCTTCTAGAATTGCCAATGTGGCCGAGCGTTGTGGCAAAAGCTCTGCCAAGGTATCGGGCCATGTGTTCCCGCAGCCGTTGTGGAAACCCTTCGGGGAACACTTGGGGCAGGATGGCGGGGCAAATCAAGAGGAGGCGGAGGAGGTGGTGGAGGAGGAGGAGGAGGAGGAGGGGGAGGAGGAGGAGCAGGAGCAGGAGGAGGAGGAGGAGGAGGAGGAGGAGGAGGAGGAGGCGGAGGAGGAGGAGGAGGAGGGGGCATCTTGGGAGCCTCTGGGGACACTCTTGGGGCCTCCTGGGAGCTTCCTGGGAGCCTCTTGGACCTTTTGGGGCTTCTGGGGGGCCTCTTTGGCCGTCTTGGTGGGCTCCTGGCCCGTCTGACGTCGTCGAAAGCCGTCTCGGGGGCCTCTCTGGGCCGACTTGGGGCCATCTTGGCGTGCTCCAGGGCCGTCTTGGAGGCCATCTTGAGCGTCTTGGAGGCCTCTTGGGCCGTCATGGGGGCCTCTTGGGGCCGTCTTGAGGGCCTCTTGGGC